GGTTTTAGATATATTCACCTGGTTATAATTGTTTGCAACAAATACAAAAGATTTATATGGTGACCACTCAAGAATTGTTCTTGAGAGGTCAAAAGGGGGACAATGTAGATAAATCTCTGATAATTTTCATATGACTTTATATTGTGCCTCTTCATATAACCTTGTGGTGGGTCTATCCACCTGTGACTTCTGTTTTCATGGGACTTTGTACCAAAGCCTCATTCAGAAACTTTGCATTGCCCTTGGTATAATATTATAGCCCCTAAGGATAGAATAAGATAGAAGAAAAAAATTTTTTTGCTAGCAGTAGAACAAGAGCTCTCCCCCCCTCCCCACTCTTAATCAATTGCCCTGTTGAATGAATGAGGTGTGGATGAGCAAGGCATAGAAGGCAGCACCTTCAGACAGCCTCAACTGTTGGAGAGGGGCTGAGAGCCAGACCCAAGGACAATAAAATGTGTCAAGTGGGCTCATTAAAGACAAGCAGACATACCTACGGCCTCGGGGGTTAGAAGCAAGCACCTTCTTTTGGAAACACCCTCTTTGCAGCATTGGGACAACACTCAAAAGAAAGCAGCACAAAGGACCAATGGACACAGACACAGAGTTTGAATCTGGTATAGATTTGCATAAGAGGAAAGCTGCTATAAAAGTGAGGTGTCTTGCAGAGGACCCCGGGTCTCGTCTTGTCAACATGGGAGCATCGATCTGGATCGGCAGAAGCCCGGCTCCACCCCCTCCCCAATCTAACTCACCTGGCCAGTGAAGTTAAGGGGAGCAACTAATTGGTAACAACAAGACGGAGTGTGTTTGTGTGTGTGTGTGAGTGTAAGGGTAATATATTATATGCATATAATACAGTGTTAATGAATACATGGATTACTAATAAATGTGGCGTTTGGTCTTATTCCCCCTGAAAAGATCCTGTGCAGTACTTTAAGTACAACACAAGCCTATTAACTGGGTAGTAAAATGCTGTACTTTAACTGTATAAAGACTAGGAATCTGCAAAGTGAGAGTTATGATCTCTTCAATAGCCAGATATTTACAGAGAACTGTCGTTGATTAAAAACTGTTTCACAAACTTGGGATTTGTTTTTGTTGTAATTTTACATAAAAAATATTATTCAAATGTAGTATAATGCTGAAAGACAAAAAATATACAGAAGTGATTTATTCAAACAGGACACTTAACTTGAAAAGTAGAAAATATATATAAAAAAAAAATGTACTTCAAAAAGAGGAGCTTTGAATTTCAGTCCTATTCCCCTGCCTGTCATCTCCCCAGCCACGGTCCCCTTTGTGAGTATATCCCTCTCCCCATCTGTGCATATACCCCAATACAAGAGTGAAAGACGAACAGCTAAACAGAGCAGAAGGAAAGCATTTATGAACCCTGTGATCCCATGAGGATGCTCTAGACTGTACCAGGGTGAAAGTGCCTCATAGGAAGAGAAGGCCTTACAGTGGCATACCTTTACCTTTACCACAACACCCTTGGCTGGGTACTGCCCTGGACACAACTCAAACTCAACAATTAGGTCCATTATGAGCAAGGAAAGAAAAGATTAGGGTCCCTTTTTTTCCATCTCAATAAAGAGACTGATTTAAATAATATTTGCATGTA